ATTTCAAACCATATTCGAAATACATGTACACTGACAGAAAGGAGAAAAACTTAATTGAATTTGGTTTAGCACCTATGAATTTGATATCGAAAAAGACTCTGTTAAGAAATTTAAAAGAGACTGTTTTCATGCAATTGTCATTTGAATATGGACATTCAGATAAAAGCATATTTCACCTCCACACTTGGATTAATGGTAATGTGAGTATTCATAAAGTATCAACTGCAGACAAAGAACATTTGAACAATTTCATTGAATTCCATTTTCAGTTCAATATAAACGTGCTGTCTAAGCACATTCGCCTATCAGTAAAAGAAAAAGGAAAGTTGAATTATGTAGACGAGTTTCACAATGTTGATTTTGAGGCCATATTGTATCCATCAGTAGGAAAAGAGACATCATTATTTCCAATTGAAGTATCATACATTATATGGAAATCGTAATGTTGAAATCTCGGTGTATTTTTTTAAACATAACTTTTGGGGTACTAAACATTTTCATCCAACAATGGACTTCTACCTTCCTAGTTCTTTTATAAAACCAAATCCTTTGACATTAAATTTGGATGGTCGTTGCTATGGTTTTCAAATTTTTAAGTCCAACATTTTGTACCTCATGGTCATGAACTCGACTTTGGAATCTGACCTTTTTGAATAACAATTTAATTTTGGTATTATCATTTTGATAGGTGGTAAAAAGGTTCATAGTACGATTCTCAGTAAACATTGGATTTTCAGTAGGGCGAAAGGATGTGTAAATTTTATGCACTTATTATGCAACATCGAGAATATCAAGCCTTACTGAAAGTCCAATTTCAATTATTTCATACAAGTTAGCCATGTGAAAACACGTTTTTTCTTACTCTATAAAATTGGTCATTTTAGGCGCCGTAATCGACGATCGACGAGGGTATTGCTTTCATGTCTCACATATGTAATCTTTGTGACAGGGTATTTCTTTGAGTACCACCAAATTTGATCAATTGGCCTTGATCTTGGAGTTGACAAACTTTTATCGAAAATTTTCAAACATTTCTTTTAGCAAATATTTTGAATGGTAAATACTAGGACTTTTATACTTTGCATATGTATTTTTTGTGAAAAGACCATTTATTGCACTCCAATGAATTTTTTTTTTACATTGGAGATTCACGTACTTAAAAAAAGATTAACCTGGGTAATATCTTTTTTACGTTAAGGGTTAGGGTTTTCATACTTAATATTACACTTTTACTTTGATCCTTGCGTTTTACCTTCCTCTAAAATGTCTTTAATTGCAATTTGGAGGCTAAATCAACTTGCATGTCTTCAAACATAATCTTATGTATCCCAAAAGTAAATTTGAAATGGTGCCTTTTTAAAAGTTTTATTTCTTATTTCCATGCTTTTTGATATCATTGACAGCTACTTTTTCAATTTAAATGCAACTCGTAAATTTACTTACTTGGTCATTGGTCATTTGCAAAACTATTTTGTTATGATTGCGCACACAAGAACTCTGAAGTTGACATAAAGAAGATGCTTTAGTTTCTGATTGACAAATTCCATGTGGTTATTGGAGACCAGGTCTTCCAACAATCTAATGGAATTTCCATGGGTACAAATTGATCTCCGTTATTAGCAGCACTTTTTGTATTCATATTAAGCAAAATTCCTGCAAAATCTTATGCGTGAAGAGTAGAAAAATTGCTGTTGCATTCAACTCGACTTTCAGATATATCGACGAGGTATTGTCAATTAACAATTGTAATTTCCATTCCTACGTCGATCCGATATATCCAGAAGAGCTTGAGATAAAAGATACCACAGAGATTGACACATCTGTTTCATACTTGAATATTTTATTTGAAAAAAGACGTTAATGGTAACCTAACAACCAAGCTGTATGATAAACGTGACGACTTTATTATTTCTGTCGTCAACTTCCCTTACTTATGCAGTATTATACATGTACCTTCATCACCTGCATACGGAGTGTATATATCTCAGTTGATTCGATACAAGACCATGCTCTACGTATGAACTATTTCTAAAACAAGGTAAATTATTGACAAGCAAGTTGATGAAACAAGAATATTAGCAGTCTCGATTAAAGGCATCACTTCGTAAGTTCTATGGTCGATACAATAACCTTGTCAGCAAATACAATTTATCGTTGCGTCAAATGCTGACTGACTTTTTTTATACCATTTGCTGGGCCATTATTTATACAATGAATTGACGACGATTTCCCCCTTTTATTTCCTGATTATGACAAGGAGCACATTGCGGGTGTGACCGGTCAGCAGAGGATGCTCACTCCTCAATGGCACCTGATCCCACCTCTGATGTTTCGGAGGTCCGTGTTTGCTCTGCTCCTATTTTGTATTGTTTTATTGACTTTGATATTGAATATTGTGCGTTATCTCCAAATCCTCCTTTGATGCGTAAATTCCATTTAAAGGGGTTCCCCTTGGCAATAGCTTTTGAACAGATTGTGCTACATGTGGGGTATCATATCTCACAATTGCATTTCATGTGGGAAAACCTTTCTTTGGTACCAACATAATTAATTTTGCATTTTTAAAAGTTTAAATTTCTCTATGTTACCATACGTAGGAATCAGTGTTTTACAAACACATCTTGTTTTGAGAGGATTTACCATCATTTTCACATTGCACGTGCCTGTTTGTTAAATAATAACAGGACATTTTATTAGGAACCAAAACTTTAATATCATAACATTGATGTAAGAGTCTAACTTTGTTTTGAAAAGCATCTATGCTGGGTATCACTTTTACAATTATACTATTATATCTTTTTTTTGTTTTTAATGTATAACTCAGTTCTTGCTTTTGAAATACATGAATACATGTATGTAAATGTGTTTGAAATTGAAATTCTTTTTATATGCCTTTGAATAAATCACTATCATAATTTTTTTTATGTTTTCAAGAGTGAACAATTATTTAATTTTCAAAATGTGTGCCTATAAATGAACAGTCATGTGATTATGTATCATATTGAGTTTTTCTATTATAATAAATTAGTGATTTAGATGCCCTCTGCGGGAAGGCGCCTCTGCAAATCTGTTACATGGATATAGAGCATTAATTCAAAATATATAAAAGTCTTTCAAACAGCATATGACGCCTGCATAAAATACATAATTGTATATATATTTAAGAAATAAATAACAATGTTAAAATGTTCACTGGGAAACATTATTGTTTAAGTGATTAAATCTTTTGATGTAGATTAGATCAAGGAATTTCGTAGCAGTAGTAGTAGTAGTATTTGTAGTAGTAGTAGAAGAGTTGATCACGATATCTCGGCAGTCTCTTTATTGCAGCCGTATGGCAACGTATTGTAGTTATGGTTACTCTGAATGAGAACGATTTTTTTATATAACTAAACGAAGTACATGAGAAGTTACACAAATGTTCAAACATCAAAGTGATTGATGGTACCTGACGAATCGGACCTTATTAAGTTAATTATCGAAAAAAAAAGACAACAACACAAAATTCTAAACTTATTGAATTTATTATATCCTAACTGTGGCGTATAAGTGGGCACGGCTTTGTATTTCAAATTTAAATTTTGGCTGCCATTTCAACCTGGGCAAGCCACAACATATCAACATCACAACATCAACAACATATCAACATCACAACATCAACTCAATGTTCAAATTCAACTGTTCAATACAAATACCAAACTTCAACTCGTTTGTATTTCAACTGTTCAACACAAATCTGAACTTCAACTGTTCAGTCAACATCCATAATCAGCAAAACCCCGGGAAACAGCAGACGCTGATTAACAATTCAACGTTATTTACTTTAAGTTACCTTGACCCCGGGAAACGGCGGTCAAAGTTTGATAGATGTCACAGAATTTTATGCAAACGTTCATTTTCTTTTCTTGATAATAATTAAGGTGCCACGCAATCCGCCACATGGAAATCAAACCTCAACTATTTGATGTCCACAGCCACCAAAGTGGGGAAGTGGCACATATAAGCCAGTGCCCACCTTTCTATTTAACTAGCCGGGTAAACAGCCCCCCTCCCTGACTAAACTTTTCCAAAGCTCCCTGTAAAGTGTTTAAAAACAGACTGTTACCTAACTCTGACAGGTGTACCCCATCTTCCCTAAATAATTCCTTGTGATTTTTCTTAATATCATTATATTTTATATACAACCCACCATTTCTTAAAACTAAATTAGCTGCAAAACTGTTAAGTCTGATACGAGCTCTTTTCATATCATTGACGTCTTTAGAAAATCTCCAGTTATTTCTTGGTAAAATTTGTGACCAGATAATCTTTATTCCCTTGAACATTTGCAAAATAAAATCAACAATTGAGGAAACTAAATTTCTGATCTCGTAAAGCGGTTTGCTTCCAAGGTCATTACCCCACAATGAAGAATGAGATAATCCGGTTTACCTTCAAAACGTGAAATATGATTTAGTTTTTCTTTTAAGGTCGCTAAACGAAGGCCTGAGTATCCCTGCCACCATATCTGAATACCTAACCTTTCTAATCCAAGGTTTTGTCCACCCGATCTTAATACTGATGACAGAAAAGCCCATCTGATGATTGAGGACCCCATACACCATACACTAGAAGCTATTGTTGTATGAAGTATAAAACATTAGAAAATAAATTAAGTCGCAGTCTATACTACTGAAGAAATTTTTGTACATGGTATTCTTAATTATGACTTATAAGCTGCAGACTTCCATCTGCCTGATGTTTTTATTACATCGTCTGAATAACCTGTAATTGCCAGTTCTGTTGCTCCCCCTATCCTAAACAAGTGTATATAATGCTTTGACTCTATGTTACAAAGCTTCAGTGTTTTCTTAAGTACAGCTGTAAATTGATATCTTGTAAGCGGAGAAGCATCAATTAAAATGACAAAACAATTGCCCTCCTGCAGAGGAATGGCGTATCGATAAATATCGATGTAAATTTTTAACTGGGCATAAGGGCCAGCCTTTTGCGGAAAGTACCACTTCTGTCCCTTTTCCATACTGGTCTGTTTTACAATATCTTAATATTATTTTTAATGAGTTATCTTTTTGTATCTTAATATCATTAATATCTAAAATGCCTTTGGCCTGTTTATTTGATGAAACAATTTCTCCGACACGAAAACAACCATAAAATGCCAAAGTGTAAACTGAAGTGAATAATAACGTTTCATATGTTTCTCTACAGGACAAATGAAGTCCATTGATAATTGTTGAAAGAATTCCTGAGGTTATTGGTAAACGTGAATCAGGCTTGGCGCTTGTTTTCTTTTTTCCCTCTAACATTTTAGCTTTAATGAAATTGTGGGTGGGGTCGTCAAAATTTTTTAACTTGCATTGCAAACTTATTGCTGAGACATATGTGCATATTGTGGAATACGCCAATCCCTCTAGAGATGACGCTGCTATAAATTCTTTTATGTCTGACAACTTTGGCAGCCAGGCAGGCTCCATGTTTTGTTTTAATCTAAAACTGTCAAACTTAATTAGTGCCGTGCTGTACGTTTCCTGCGTGTTCTTTGATATGGATGCGGTCAGCAGATTGCTAACTTCCTGTCGTATATCAGCTGCAGAAATTCCTTTGAAATTCGATCCGAGAATCTCCTTGCCTTTGGTGCTAGCCCACGGAAACGGCCCCACTGTTTAAGAGAAATAGAATCAGCAATTCGATTTTCCGTGCCTTGAAAAAACTTTGCTCGAAATGAGAAATTAAATTCCATGCATTTCATGATTAGTGGTCTTAATAAATACATTATGCGCTTGGATTTAGAAGATTGAGAATTTATAATTTGAACTAATGCTTTATTGTCAGTGCGAAAGAGCAGTTTCTTGTTGCTTAATGTAGGTCCCCATAATGTAATTGCCAGCAGAATCGGTACTAATTCTTGGCCAGGCAAAGTATACCCAATTTCCAGCAAAATACGCCCCGCATCCCAACTTACAGGACCCCGCACTATCCCTATATAATTCTAGAGAATGGTTACTTGACTAAAGACTTTCTGGGAAATAAAGTGTCCCATTAAAACTGATAAAAAATCTTAACCACGTTCTTAAGTCGCCTGACAATTCCTCTGTTATACGGATGTGATGATGTTGTGCCCGAATTCCTGACATAGCATCATAAAACCTTCTTAGATAAACTCTACCTGGGCGTACAGCTCTACACACGAAACTTAAACCTCCTACTAGAGATTGCATTTCCCTGAGTGTGACTTTTTTTTTCTCCCTAACATACCCTCTAACGCGTCGCGCAGCGAATCGAGTTTTTCTTTGGGCACCTTAACCTGCTTCTGCAAAGTATTTATTTCTAACCCAAGAAAGGTTAATACTTGGACTGGTCCTATAGTTTTTTCATGAGCAATAGAAACACCTAATTCTGTACACATCGTTTGAAATTTGTTCATTAAAGTATTACAATCATCTGTGCTGTTCCTACCAGCAAAAATGAAATCGTCAAGATAATGATCTAAAGATTTTAAACCTGTTATATCGGCAATTTTCCAGTGCAAAAATGTGGAAAATTTTTCAAATAAACTACAACTTTCCGAACAACACATAGGTAGGCATTAATCAACAAAGTATCGATCTTCAAAATAAAACCGAAACAAATCAAAATCACCCGGATTCAATGGTAAAAGGCGAAATGCTGATTTAATGTCCATTTTTCTAATAAGAGCCCCATATCCCAAATCTGCAATCATATCTATTACTTTATCAAACGAAGAATATTTTACACAAGCAAACTCATTGCTGATAAAATCTTTAACGCTTGTTTTCTGAGGGTGTGATAAATGTGTTATCAATCTAATTGAGCCATCCGATTTTGGTACTCCCCCGATTGGTGAAATAGGCAAATATTTAAAGGACCCAAAATTCTTCCCAATTTGATTTCTTTAAATATTTTTTCCCTTATTTCTACTTTGAAATCATTAGCCAAAATGAGATTTTTGGAAAACACATTAAAACGCGGACCTGAATAATGAATTTTGAAACCCTTAGTAAAACCTTCATACAATTCTACCGCTACTTTCTTTTTTGGATACCCAATCAGTAATTTTTCCAAAATATCAGATTTAATTGGCGTTGTACCTAGGGCCCATGAATTGTTGATTGATCAAGTATTGTTTGCTCTAATATTTGGTCTACTGAATCGTGCAGAGGGAAACCCTGGAAATAAACCTGTTTGGTTTTCTTCGGGCTGGCTTTGCATTTGGGTACGAAATCCCTCAGAATTATTTACCGGACAGCTATAAAATGGGCGTGTTCCGTTACACTTAATGCAAGTATGATTTTAGGTACACGGGAATTTGAAACAGCTACCCTTAAAATTGTAGTCATAACATTTTGAAGATGACATGCTCTGTCTGCCAGCTGGCCTTGATGCATGGGTGTTTTCCGTTTCTTTACCAAGCATGCAAAGTAACCAAAGTTCTGAATCAACTTCCCTCAGCTACTTGTGGGATTTTTGCTCTTTTTAAGACGATATTGTTCGTCATAGCTTTTCCAGCCTAGCCCCCTGTGCCTCATAGCCCCAGTCCTTACTGTTTGCATATACTTTAATAAATCCACAGTCTTTGCTGGATGGGCAGTAACGTCAATTCCCATGTATATTATGAACGCATCTGTCCACTAAGCTATATCATCTTTCTTTCATTTTTTGTTTTAGTTACCAATTCCCCATTTTTGAAAACAAATGTTTTTTTTCCTGAGAGTCTGTTAGATTTGTATTTGTTAACAACTGCGCCAAGTCTACATAATTTTCCGCAATTATTTTTTGCTTCAGATTCTCTGAAACATTGTAAGCCAAACAATCATTAACGCTAATTATTGTATTTGGTAATTCTGAACAAGCGTCATCTAAATTTAGTAAAACTTCCTTACCCGCGTTGTCTTCCTCTGCTTTGTCTTCTGGTGGGCTCACTTTCTGCTTTTGAGCGGCCGGAACTTCGATCTTTCCTCTCAACCCGCGCTTTCCTCTACCAATTGTCACTTTTGTCCTCTCCACGCAGAATTGTTTTCTTGCCCTCAACATATTGGTCTGTTAATGTTTTGACGAATCTTTTGTCGAGACTAATTCTGTTTGTAAATTCTTTGTCTTAACTTTCCACTGTATCTGGAGGGCTGGGTGTTAACAGAAAGAAACTTAGTCCGAGAACCCGTTATATATGATGCCACTTTTCCCCGCCCACTAGAGGCTCGCTATACAGCTACTCTGCAGTTATGCAAATTGTCGCCCTTCCCCCGTACAACAATCACTGCTGTCTTTCTTCAATAAACTCGTCTTTTTTTCAAATTAACAGATGTCATTAAAATCAAAAAATATTTTGATCGATATGCGCAGATTGACTTACTTCCATTGCCGAAGGAAAATGGCAGTAACATACAGATTCAAAAGCCAAGAAAGAGCCGTACAATTTAATTGTTGCAACAATAGTTGGATTTTATAGCGCAATGGACTAAAATAATAAAAGTCTATGTGGAGAGTATTACCAAAACTTCAAAAAAGAGTTCTTCAACTGCTGCAAAGGGAGCAAAAAGGAAGACCGTTGCGGAAATGTTTGTTTTGTGTCTATAAAACAATCAGAAGACCGGTGTAACGTTGAATATTGACCCGAGTTGAAAATTGACCCGGGGGTCATTTTTCAACATTGAATATTGAACCGGGGTCATTTTTCAACGTTGAATATTGAGACTAAAAGTCGTTGAATTTATACCCGGGGTCATTTTTCAATAGCTTGATAATTTTTGTTCTTACACCTGATGACGTCAACAAGTTGAAAATTGACCCTGTTGAATATTGACCCCACCTCAAAGTTTGAACATTTTTTTTTAGCTGGGAAGCTGTTTTACGGGATTTATCAGTATCACTTTATTTATATTTCGGTTTCAATTTTTTCCCTTTTCAAGAATAATAGAAATAAACATACAGTATCACCCCGTGTATATATGTACATTTGGACCAGTGCACGGTTTCAGTTATCTTCGCAGGGGTGTAGCAACCGGGGGGGGGGGGGGTGGGTGGGGGGGGGGGGGACAGGGGGTCTGCCCCCCCCCCCCCCCCCCCACTTTTTTTTCTCAACCTTACCTATACTATAGCAAATGTTAATTGAAAACCTGCCCCCCCCCCAGTTTTAGTGATGTGTCGAAAATGAAGTATTAGAATTGGTACTGAAAGTAGTTGAACGATATTAAAAATAGTTTGTACGATTTAATAAATTGTACAAACGACTTAATAAATTGTACAAACGATTTAACAAACAAATTGTACAAACGATTTATTAAATTGTACAAACAATTTACTAAATTGTACAAACAATCTTTAAATCGTACAAACGACTTATTTAATCGTACAAACGACTTATTAAATCGTACAAACGACTTATTAAATTGTACAAACGACTTATTAAATTGTACAAACGATTTATTAAATTGTATAAACGATTTATTAAATTGTACAAACGATTTATTAAATTGTACAAACAATTTGTTAAATCGTACAAACGTTTTTTTTTTAAAATCGTTCAAACGATTTAAAAAAAAAATTCTACATTGTTAAAATGGCACGAATACGCCGTCGTACGTTTCCTATTCGATGTCATTAATATTTAAAACAATCGGTTGCTAGTCGCTAATTTTGTCATTCCTATTCGATAATCTTATCTTTTTTAATCGATGATTATTTGGTTTATATGCAATGAAGTTGTTGTTCGAAAACATACTACCATCATTTCTATTCGAAAAAATACGATTCCTATTCGATAAACTTCTCATCTTATTACATAATTTTATCTTTATGATCTCCTATGCGATGTTTTTTAAATTCTTTTTCAATAATTGCCATGATTGCACTCTGGAAAATATGACAAATTAAACTAGAATTGGTTGTAAACTCAATTAAATAGGAATGTAAAGTTTAACATTATTATCGAATATAAATCATTTTATCACATAGATTGACAAAAGAAATTTGAAAATAATGGGAATAAGGCAAAAGTTTTCTCTCTTCAAGACTTAGAGACTAGAGATCAGCATAAATTAAGCTGTTGCTATTTAATATTAAATAAATGTGTTTCGTTTTATACATTGATGGAGTAATTATAGAGGATTTATTTATTCAGAATACTAATTTATTTAATTGATTATGTCTTGTATCAATTTTTGACAAAGATATTCAATATGTTTTAATATAAGGTACATTTTGATCCTAATTCAAGACTTAAAGGCATAAAAAATTGATACGTCTCACCAATTACGGAACATTAAAAAATATTATTACAAGTTGTAGTAATTTTTTTTTCAGAAACATCAAGTCATACTCTGTATTATCTTTAATTTAGAAATCAATACTATTTCTGTTTTACAAAAAATTATCTCCAGGCAGGGAGGGGGGGGGGTGTCATTCACTTTAATGAAATTTTCTAAAAGGACTCCTGCAATATAGTAAACTATATGATCACAAGAAAAAAACATGAAGTCAATATGCATTTCAGATTCTATAAATAGTAACTCAAGTCTTTATGCTGTTATATACTTAATCATGTGATTAAGTTTGAGCCAATCAGAGAGCTTAGAATTAAAGGTGATATCACCTTTTCGTGCTAAAAAGATGATATCACCTATTTGAATAAGTGGTATCACCTATTCGAAAAGGTGATATTACCTATTTGAGTTTCTTACAACAGTCATTAATGAATGCTCCATATAATATATATTATACTACACCGGAACCAAGAAAATTCGGACTACCCAGTTTTCATGCATTTTCTACGATTTTCTTGTTGTATACATGATATATAAGTGAAATAAATTAATTTGTAAGCAAAAAAAAAAAAAACTACAATTGTTCGACTGGAAAAGGTGATATCACCCAATCGAATAGGCGATATCACCAATTCAAATAAATGATATCACAAATTCAAATCAAATAGGTGATATCATCTATTGGAACAGGTGATATCACTTATTCAAATAGGGGATAATACTTTTTGCAGTAAATACCAAAACGGGGCCTCATACCTATGAATTAAATCACAGTAGTGAAAACCCAATCATAAATATGTGTTTTTATGCTGTTGAATTTTGAACCGGTTTCATGATCAAAATTCCACGACCCGGCTCAGTTTTCAACGGATTAGGGTCTAAATTCAACACCTTCTGTCTCAGTATTCAAGTACCCCCGGGTCAATTTTCAACCCGGGTCAAAATTCAACGTTACACCGGAACCAGTGCCACAAGGGAATACAAGAGTCTGAAAGATTTTGAAAATAAATGTGTTTTTGAGTAAAGGGGTCCTGTAAGACTTTTATTAGCCTGTGCTAAAGCTTACAAGATGGCATTGGCGTCGGTTCCATGCTGATTTCATTGTGTTTTCCACATAAATTAATGACTTCGTACACGGGAATATAACGGGACTGTTTCCACACATGAAGATGATACATCTTCTCTCTTTAAAATTGAGACAAATGAGCTACACTACATTTAGTTTTCATAAGGCACTGAATATTTGAAACCTTGTATTAAATATTCATAGGCAAAGAGATTGAATTATGTTGTACAAGTCATTATAACATGGTTTTTTAGGATGTTTTGGAGCATGGTATATTACCAATCCTGTCTTGTTTTTTACCAAAAAAAGTTAGGACATCTTTTACTTTGCTAAATCAGTTATTTAAAGGTTTAATGATTTTCATTCCATTACCGGAAGTGTTTTTTTTTAGCTCTTTTAACTGAAAACAAAATTTTGCAATCTTAATAAAAAAAACTAGAGGTACTGCGAGCAATGGGCTCACTAAATGATACCCCCCGCCTCCCATAATACTATTGTTTTACGGTAATGTCTAAAGAGGAATAACTCGTCCTTTCAAATGTAATCCAGAAGCTTCTATATGTGACGTCATCGGTAAACATATAATGTCAATGTTCATGTTTTGCTATAGGAAACCTAAAATACGTGTCGAATAAAAAAGTAAAATAGGAGTTGCACAATGGCAATATGTAATAAAGATTCTATGAAAATTTTATTAAATTTCACTCAGTAGTATAAGAGAAGTTGCGGATAAGAGATAAAGCGTAACAGATGGACGGACGGACAGAGGGACGGAAATACCGATTACTATATACCCACCCACTTTTCAAGGGGGGGGGGGGGTATAATTAAACAATATTTTGTTTTTTAATGTTTTAAAGCTGTTAATCATAAGTATTGTACTAAAATACGGGGATAAAATCCTTCTTTCTTTACAGGATGTGATGCCTATATTTCTTCCAAATGACTGATAGCAAGAAGGAGGGATGTTATAAGAGTTATGTGTTTATTTTTCTAAGGTTTAATGTTAACATTAAAAATGAATATATTTAGTTAAAAAGTAAAATGATGCTTCATATATATATTTATTTGTTACTTCCTAAGGTCTTAAAACAACATTTAACGTATGTATACGTTAAATGTTGTTTTAAGACCTTAGGAAGTAACAAATAAATCTTAAAACCTCCCCCTTCCGACCATTCAATTAAACATGCTAGTCCGCCATATACAACTAATGCAGCCCGATTTTTACCAGGCTTATTTCTTTTAGGTTTATTACATGTAATGTCTTAATCTGAGCGAAATTAATATTCTTGGACATTTTAGATGCATGTTTTTCAGATACTGCGGTCGAATTTTCTCTAACTTGGCTCAGTGTAATAACTCTTGAAATTCCTGTAAAGAAACTGTCACTTATGCTATTGAAACACATTAACCTGATAAGTCGTCATATAGTGTATATTTGCACCTGTAGCTCTTCTTTTTTCTTTATTTTGAGAATTCTCAGTTTAAGCAATAAGGATGCTTGTTATCAGTCATTTTAAGAAAATCAGGCATCACATTCGGAAAAAAAAGGATTTTCCCCCCGTGATTTCAGTACTATACTAATGATAAACAGCTACAAAACCTTGAAAACCCAAAATATTGTTAAAATTTTTATTAAAAATATGATATCTATAGAGAACGCTTCACAAGTCTTTTGGTGTTTGGTGTGATTAATCAATATTGAACAAAAAGGTATGTCTCAAATTACCCTTCCATACATGTAGGTTGTTCAACATTATTTTTTTTCCAGGACCATG